GCCGGAGCAAACTACCATGTTCCGGTCGGCTACGGGTTCGGTCCTATACATCAGCAGGTGATCGAGGCCAGACATCTCTCACTCGGTGCTGGTACTCACGAAGAGCTTGGCTAAACCAGGACCGAAGGCGCTTGCCATGAAACGACTCATGCGCTACCTGAAGGGGACGACCTCTTTGGGCATCACCTACCGCAAGGACGCGCAAGGCGGAGATAAACTAACCGCTTACGTCGACTCTGACTTCGCAGGCGATCTTGACGATCGAAAATCGACTACTGGGGTCGTTCTTACCCTCGCAGGTGGCCCGGTGGACACGACAAGTGTAAAGCAGACGGTCACTGCCACGTCGTCGGCTGAGGCAGAATACGTCGCAATGTCCAAGGCGTGCAAAATGATCCTACACTGGCGTCATCTTCTCAAGACCATCAATCGAGAGCAGACGGAGGCTACGGTGTTGTTTGAGGATAGCACTGCTGCCATATCGACTAGTGAATCGAACAAAGTAACGCAGAAAACGAAGCACATCGATGTCAAGTATCACCACGTAAGGTCGCTGATCGTTAACAAGGTAGTGGAGGTAAAGAAAATCGACACCAACCTCCAGAAGGCTGACATGTTGACCAAGAACCTAGGAACGGTTAATTCTCTCAACAACCGTCGCCAGCTTCTAGGAATGTAGTCACCTCCCCTCTTCGTACTCTTAAGGGTTGAATGTTGAAGGAAACTCGGGAGATCTGTGTAAGAGGAATGTTTTCGCTGCTTGTTGAAACGGCGGGTAATGACTATTTATTTTTGAGTTGAGATCGCAAGTACTCGTGAGTTGTTTTCGAGAGGACACTATTTTGAGAGGACATCGAGAGAAGATTCGAGTCTCATGTGTCAGAATGACGTACGTTCTTGAGAGGACATGTTGGGGTGTTTGCTGTGCAAGACCGACTCTATTCTGCTGTATGTGTTTGATACGGTATTGTGAAGGCGTTCTGTTTTACTGTAACCGTCAGGTGCAGACAGTCCAGGCGTCTGTGTGTGGATAATAAATCACTCTTTTTGTTTTCTCTACCAAGCCTCTACCACATACGCCAACCAGCGTACTACAGCTGTGGTACCGCCCAACAGT